CCATGTTCGACCGATTTTATCCTTATTCGACGTAAAGTCGTTTAGAGACGTAGAATCTTGTTTACAAGTATACGAGGCGAATCTCGCGAAATCTCATGCAGAAACTTGTGGACGCGCCTTAAAGTTTATTCGGGGGAGCTGCAAAGGCGTTTAGCAACTGCTAAACTTCCGGCTAGCGAAAAGTTTAGGTATATGCTGAGACGCGCGGTTTATAACGCGCCTTGCAAATTGGCTGCTGAGAGGCCCGTGCGAATGTCTGGTTAGGTACGAAACGTATCTACTGTGTGAATTTTATGCGGTGTGAATGACTCGGTCGTGTTTTCGGTTAAACACGCGAAGAACGTTTCTCTCGTTTGGTATAGGGTAATGGAAAATTTTGCACAGTCCGACCGGACGAGAGGACGAAGCAAAAATGAATTTTGGCAACCATAATCGTCGTTCCAATTATTTCTGTGATATACGTATACGGGAAATTGTTTTTATTGCTAACAAAATAATATGTAGACTGGGAGACAGCGCGAGGAAGATTCGCAGTTACGTAACCGTAAATTCGGTGGAAACGATCCAAGAGTCAAGAGACAATATCGTACCAGTCGACAAAACACTGATATCCAGCAGTTGCGGCAAACTTCGGCAAAGTCAATGGACTTTATTAGTGCTGCCGCAGATTCTACAGTATAATTAGTGCAACTGTTATGTGAATCTTGCTGCGCCTAGTGCAGTTGGTTTCCTACTGGTGCCTATAGCAATCTAATCAAGGTACCATTCAACTGTCAGTCTTTGGCGCATCCTTCGATTTTTAGACTCATGTTCTCTATACGTCATGACTCATGATTAATAATATGGGGAATAAACTTCTGGCAATGGCTAGCCATTCTTTTGTTTAGATTTACTGATCAATATCGAAAATTGGTCAATACAATAAAATTGCTGGACGATGAAGAAATAGTAACACGTTTATTTGCTTTTGATCGTCCTACTTAGATTGTACTGTTTGGCACGTATAGACTGGACAGTTTTTGTGATCGTCCATCACGCACGAGATAAGGCCATTCATACTTGTGATAAATGTATTTACGAAAACTAATGATTCGAAAGAAAGAACGAAGTATGAAATGGGAGCTATGGAAATTTTATGAAATTTTTATATTTCAGTACTTACCGATAAACACTCTCGTCGTACCACAAGAGAATTCTGAGGGGTTGATTGACACTGCGTTTCTTGACCTCGTGGGCAGGTTCTATGTGAACCCCGTGTATGACCTAGGGCGAAAAAGAGAAATATATTTATTAAAAAAAAAAAATAAATAAAGCCTTCTATAAGAGTACTCGATCAAGGGTGAAAAATAGGTACGCCTGGTATCGAGTAAATCCTCAATCTCGACTAAGATTGAGTTGGATGAAGTATTTCAGAGCGAAAAGGCGGAAAATGAGTAAAATCGTAAGTTTCACGAAATTTCGTTTTACGCGAGTAAAGATACTTCTTGGTAAATTGAATGTTCTGTAAACTCAATAAGGGTGTCAGGAGGGTCCTTCCTCAGAGGAAGTGGAAACAATATAGAGCCGAGTCTGACGAAAGGACTATGATACGAATACACGTACAGGATGTTCCAAAATTCACGTACTCGGAGAGAGCATTGGCATATGGCAAACAATACAGGTGCTGGAAATGACTTTTTTCCATTTTTAAATGAGACCCGATTGAAGATAACCAACGATAGCGCGGTGGCGACGAAAATACGCGAGTTCTCAGTTTGCTTTCTTTCCTTTTGTTTCACCCTGTATATATGTTATAGAACGTAGTGAAAGGCTAAGGATTAGATAAAGACTAAGGATTTACATGAAAACGAACTGAGAACAAAAATATATAAATGTGGCGTTAGTACAGTTTGAGGACAGGGTACCATAAAGCGACGTTCACAATAGGGAACTGAGGCATTTTATAGTATATAAAAAAAGCAGGCTAAACCTCGGGACATCACAGCATTGAAATTCTACCCTATCCCAATCTAACGTAATGCTTTCTAAGCTCATGAAAGCTCCCGGTGCCTAGCATTAAAAAAAGTTTGAACAAACTCAGTGTGACCTGCCAAATATATATACATATATAGGATATCTTATCTCTCTTGATCCCGTCACCCATTTCGACATTCCTCATAACAGTATCATTAAGCGAGAATTTACTTTACCATCCCTCAGACCTTGTCAAGTACTAAGGGCGATATTCCTAAGGGCGCGTTGAGAAGGATCTCGCAAGGATATTGCGCCAAGAGTACACAGGCCAGATGATTCCTGATGACTCCAGATGGTAAACAAGGGGAAAAACTTATTAACCAGCGACACTAAATTTGCCAAGGATCGCAGGTTTATGTGCGACTCCTGGGAACCTTGGGTATTGCGCTAAGGGAAACCTTTTGAAAAAAGGTCCACTCTACGTCCGACTATCACATGTCCATCCTGTTGCTGGAGGAGCAATCGTGTCATCTCGGCTATCGTCGTAACCCGAATAGAAATAAACTTGACGCAGGGTACGGGCGTAATACTTAATTTCATAATCGATATAAATTTGCAAATCTTATCCTAATCTATCACGTAAGCTTCTACGGCGTCAAATATCCCTTCACATTACAAGTTTTGTATTTATATCTTGATACGTTACTCGAACTACATGCTTACCTATAGATGTTAGAACGTTCTCAATCGAGTCCCAAACACTAATGATAACACGGTCAAGATTGCGCCTCTATCGGAGGATCTCGAAAGTGAAGGGGGAAGAAGAGCACTTTTTGGGAGATAGTAGTATATCCTTGCGCATGCGCCAATTTCCGCGCACGCAGATTAGAAGACGTCTAAAAAATTGTTAAGATTTCAAAACGGATACAGGTGCTTTTATTGTTGATTCGTTAGAGGAAACAAAGACTTTACGAATTTGACGCAACACTTGAGGACTCTGAACGGCGTCGCACGTTGCATCCTAAGTGCAATCCCGTGCTCGCCGGTAATCGGAGCTTGCGGGACTCTAGTAGCCAGAGTGCAACTTCCGGGAAAGTTTAATCCCAACGTGACGGCCTTCAGCGGGGGAGAGTTTCAAGTGTCGGTAAGCTTTTCATAAAACCGGCGGCCAAGACAGCGTTGGAGCATCATCCGTAAGGGACATTACTGTTGAAGTAAGCCAGGAGCCTTTCGGAATCTACGACGGAACATTTTCTAGTATACTATAAGAATTATACAGGGTGAGGAAGAAAGTGCCGTCGAGCTAAATATCATCAGACATAATAATTAACGAAGAATGTGAAAGGGGAGTCGAAAAATTGTCATGACGTAAATGAACTGGATGACAAAGGAAGATCACTGTGCGGCAAGGGACTGCGGGGGCTGAAGAAGCGACTTGAAACTAGAAGTGGAAGGGTTGTTAATCGAAAGCACGACTTTGATCGTCCTCTTAACGTACTCGGATCTTCATTTGGAATGCAATTACGAATACTTGGATAAGCTTTAATCTCGCCTAGTTTTCCTCTTGAGGATCGTTACCGGTCTGGAAAACAAGGGTGGGTAGATACTTAGAATTTTGTAAGGAGCTTTAGAGATAAAGTGATATTGTATAAGAGGATACTTCCGGTATTGAGAGCATAACTTTCTGGAAGTCGAAGCTGAGCTGTCTGGGAATCTGATGAGACGGCGAAGAAGCCATTCTACAAAGAAGGCTAGGTTAACGTTTAGAGGGATCAAAGGTTAAAGGTCAGGAGACTACAGGATTTACGCCTACTTCAACCGAACTACCCGAATCTCAAGACTACTTGTAGTGCCTGTCTTGATTACCGAAATTTTCATAAATTATAAGGGTTGCTCTAAATTTCAAGAAGCTGTCGCTTATACTTCGCCGCCATCTTACTTTCCCTCTTTCTCTTTAATTTTCAACCATTCTCCTATATTGTGTTCCGGTGAGAGAGGGTGGCCCCAGCTCATCGTGTCTACCAATCCTTAATAGTAGTTTCCCTATGACATCCGTCAATAGTCAAAAGAGCTCACCAATCCTTATCTGGTTTTAACAGACACGAAGATGTATCTTAAAATTCACACAGCCTCTTCCCATGACAAGTAGGTACCCTGCCTGTATAGGTATGTATAGATAATAATTATGAAAAAAATTCTAGATTATTTGAACAAATTAATGAAGTAAATACAATATATTCTAATATATTATAATTCATTGTAATTGATAATTGTTGGGACACCCTGTAAGATATTAGTAAGATATTAGTGAAATGGTATTAAGGGTATGTAAGGCTTAGTATAAAATTTACCATTATTCCTTTATGCAGAAAAAACCCTAGACTATTATTGGTTGCGTACGCAAGCAGTCCGGAATAAGGGAGATTACCTTTGAGGAGTGGGCTATTTTTACAGAAAGGGAGAAAATTTTATTTCCGACTTCGTTAACCCCTTTGCAATGGTGCTGGACCACAATGGCCATCCAGCCGGTTTCGTAATTCACTTTCAGAAAATTGTCCACCTGCTTTCATAGTTCGAGCCAACACAAAGGGTCGCGCTGGACCCTTAACGTTCCTCTCGTTGATGTTCCACACATGTACGTTTTTTTTTTCATCTTATTCTTACAGTGCGGGATGAAAAAAAGGAGGAAGATGATGACATGTAGCATTCAAGGATAGAAAAGAGACCAATAACACCGGCTGGTATTAAAGAAATGAAATCGACCGTATATAACCATAATGCCAACATAAAAGTCGTACTTCTTATTCCTAAGGGATAATAGTCCGAAATAGATTCTGCCAAATGAATGGAATACAACGGGATAGTGAAAAGGAACCGTCTGTATTCCACTTGTCACACTGTCAATCCGAAAAGCTATAAAGGCTGTTCATAGAAAGTATATTATTTTTGTACGACAGAGATTTTCGAGGACAGAGATGCTGTGAATGATACAGAATTTCGAGTACGTCATTACAGACTCTGTCAGACTGTACCGTCAAAAAGAATTTTTACTGGATCCAATTTCAAAATAAAAAATCATTATTATAGACTCCTTTTAAATCTATAATTCATACCCTTGCTGCAATGATAATTCATTTTCATCTTTAAGCATTACGTAATAGCAATCAAACAGATTATTGAAGATATAATTATACATGAATTCTCAACATACATGCACCATATAGCTGCCTACGTTGCCATTGACTTCTGTCTGAATAAGAATCTCATTCCGTAATAGTGATTCAAGCGGTATTGTCGTGCAGTTGTTATGGATCATGTAATAATAATAATAGTCGAAGAGTAAATTGGCTTAGAGTCGACTTCCATATAAGGCATACGATTGATTTATTAGTCTTTACCTTTATAGAACGACAGACAGAAGATGAATGATGAGTTTTACCTTTTTCCAACAATAAATACGATTACTCCTATCTGTATTAATTTTGTGTAAATACATTAAAAGAAAAAGCTCGCGCTTGAAACTTACCGAGCCCAGTAATGTTTAGTCAAAATTTTAATGAAAATTCTTTAAAAAATTTTCTTTCAATCTCCGTAAAGTTACTTATGTAATTTTCAATGGCAAATTTTTGTATAAATAAAAAATTTGCAAATATAACGACTCTTCGTTTTACGACCGAAATCCTTGGAATATTTGAAAAGGTTGGCATTACGGCGTTTCTACGAGATTGATCTACGTGGTAAGTTCGTCCTGAGGATTTGAGGACATTATCTCGGCCGCTTCAAGGGAGTAATTTATGAGAATAGTTTCCGAGAGGAATATTTCATTCAGGAGAAAAATGAAAAATGATACGGAAACTGCGAACCCTCCCTACCGGAAGTGCTCGATGTGAAAATAATATACATAATATTTGACGAATATTGAATAAGTCAATTCTTGGCCATACTCGTATAGCTAAGAAGCTAGAACTTCGATTACCTCGTACGAACATTAAAAATACCTTGAAGAGAATAAATATATATTTTAAGATGTCTTGTTTCTCTATCCGAAGATCATGGCTGCATAGGTAAGGGAGCCGCTCACCACTTTGCCAAAGTATAGTAAAATGGGTGAGGCTCTTGCGAAAATTGCCAATTTAATTTTCCCCCGTGTAAAGGCGATGCTGTTTATCTTTCTCGTCTGGATGGGTAAACCTATACCAACCTCGCCACTGAGAAACGTTAAAGGGAAAACTGTTGAAGTTTACCTACCAACAAACAATGCCCGCTACCGTAATTAGAAATGCGCGCAGAAGGTAGATAGTACAGGACTA